TCACAATTATGTAAAAAATATTTATTTGATTATGAAATATAAATAATTAATATTTATTAGGCGAGTGATGTGGCTATAAGCCGTCGTAAGCGGCAGGGTGAAAAGGATTTCGGAACGCTGGGTCGTAACTGTAAAAAAGATGAACTTTTAATTAATAAAGAGATAAAGAATTTTGGTACCGTGGAAGAAGATGGTTCGGAATTAAAAGAATTTCATCGAATGAGCAAGAAGAAATATCGTAGTCTTCCTGTTCCATCGTTAAGGAAGTCTCAAGTAATGGATGAAAATTCAAAACTACTTGTTGTAGACAAACGACGTTTTTGTATGGTTGATCCTTTTATTCCTACTCATCATAGGAGTAATACCATAGACTCTACACGAACCTATGCTTCTTTTTTCGGTTTTGATGGTCAATCACAATCTCAACATGAAAATTTTTCAAAAAAAGATTTTACCATGGTTGATGATAATTCAAAGGTTAAATTGGATTTTATAGATGAATCTAATGAAGAATCTCCTGCAACTATTTTGGTGGCCAAAAAAGCTATTCTCACAAGGCATGGTCAATTTAGTGTTCAGTCTGCTCGTTTAATTCGAGGTGGTTCTATACAAGGATATGGTCATGTTATTAGAAAGAATAGTGATAAACGAAAAAGTGCTTCTCATTTCGGTGTCACTCAAGTCAAACTTAATACAAAAAATGTATTAAGATTTTCATCCTTAATCACCGATTCAACCTCACCTTCAACGTCAATGGATTATTTTAATGATATTAAACCAATGATTTTTTATTTGAATTATATGGATCAAATGCCAATAACTGAACCTGAAACTACTCCAGAAAAATCAATAAATATACAGGAAATCAAGAAAATAGGTCCAAGACCAGGTTCTTGTCAATGTGGAAAAAAGGTTGCTTGTGTTGGTTATTCTGCTAATTGGTGTCAAAGTTGTGAATCAAAACAATTTGAAAATACTTTTGGTACATGGTCAAGTGGAAATGATGATATTGATTGTTTTATTTTGGAATCTCAACTTGATGCTACAAGTTGTTTTGATTGTTTGGAATGGATTCCTTATCATAGATTATATGATATTCAGTATGTTTGTTCAGGTCGTTCTGGAAATATTTTTCATTCAATATGGCTCGATGGTCCACGTG